TCAAGGAGTACATAGACAGTGAAGGACTGAAACCTGAACAAGTGTTTAATTGTGACGAAACAGGCCTGTTTTGGAAGAAAATGCCAAGCAGGACGTACATTACTCAGGAGGAAAAGGCACTCCCAGGACATAAGCCTATGAAAGACAGGCTTACTCTGTTGATGTGTGCCAATGCTAGTGGTGATTGCAAAGTGAAGCCTTTATTGGTGTATCACTCTGAAACTCCCAGAGTGTTCAGGAAAAACAATGCCCTCAAGGCTAATTTGTGTGTGCTGTGGAGGGCAAACAGTAAGGCATGGGTCACTAGGGACTTTTTCTATGACTGGTTACATCATGCATTTGCCCCAATGTGAAAAATTACCTAATTGAAAAGAAATTAGACCTTAAGTGCCTCCTGGTATTAGACAATGCTCCTGGTCATCTTTCAGACTTGGCAGAGCGACTTTCTAGGGACATGAGCTTCATTAAGGTGAAGTTTTTGCCTCCTAATACCACTCCTCTCCTGCAGCCCATGGACCAGCAGGTTATTTCCAACTTCAGGAAACTGTACACAAAAGCTGTTTGAAAGGTGCTTTGTAGTGACCTCAGAAACTCAACTGACTCTAAGAGAGTTTGGAAAGATAATTTTACCATCCTCAATTGTGTAAGCATTATAGGTAAGGCTTGGGAGGAAGTGACTAAGAGGACATTGAACTCTGCTTGGAAAAAACTGTGGCCAGAATGTGTAGACAAAAGGTATTTTGAAGGGTTTGAGGCTAACCCTGAGAATCCTATGCCAGTTGAGGAATCCATTGTGGCATTGGGGAAGTCCTTGGGGTTGGAGGTTAGTGGGGAGGATGTGGAAGAGTTGGTGGTGGAGGACAATGAAGAACTAACCACTGATGAGCTGCTAGATCATCTTCAACAGCAAGAGGGCACACCTGAGGAAACTGCTTCGGAGGAGGGGAGAGAGAAATTGAAGAAGTTGCCTACTTCTAAGATAAAGGAAATGTGTGCAAAGTGGCTTGAAGTGCAAACCTTTTTTGATGAAAATCACCCTGACACAGCTACTGCAAGCCGTGCTGGTGACTATTACACTGACACTGTTGTGAACGACTTTAGGAAAGTCATAAAGGAACGAGAGGTACAGGCCTCTATGGACAGATATGTTGTGCGACAGAAGTCCAGTGACTCTGAAGCTGGTCCTAGTGGCATTAAAAGAACAAGGGAAGTAACCCCAGAAAAAGACTTGCTGCCTCAAGTGCTAATGGAAGGGGATTCCCCTTCTAAACACTAACACCTCTCCCCTCCTCCCATCCCATCAATCATCACCAGATCTTCAATAAAGGTAAGTGTCATGTAACTGTGCATGTAATCTTCAGTTTGTGTGTATTAAAATTAATATTTCATGGGGTAAAATTTTTTTTTTCAATACTTTTGGGTGTCTTGTACGGATTAATTTGATTTCCATTATTTCTTATGGGGAAAATTAACTTGACTAACGATAATTCTGACTAACGATGAGCTCTCAGGAACGGATTAATATCGCTGGTTGAGGGTCCACTGTATAGACACCTTGTATTGTGCCAAAACAAAAGCATTCATATTGCTAAACTCACAAATTAGGATGTAGTCACTTAGCCTTAATACCATAATCTGTAAGGATTTAATGTTAAGAATTAATCTAAGTCTGCTCGAAATACCTAGCCATGCTAGGTGTCCTAGTGGCCCCCTCTGTAATTAGTATTTTATAACATGTAAACCACAAAATACCCAAAACCTGTAAACCCCACATTGTAACCATTATAGAGAATAAATTTGAATTGAATTGAATTGAATTATTGAAAGAATTAGAGGCAAGACAGAATGTAGGATTATGGATGAGCAAGGAGGTTTGAGAGTGGGTAGGGGATGTGTAGATCAAGTGTTTACATTGAAGTATATATGTGAACAGTATTTAGATAAAGGTAGGGAAGTTTTCATTGTATTTATGGATTTAGAAAAGGCATATGATAGTGGATAGGGGAACAATGTGGCAGATGTTGCAAGTATATGGAATAAGTAGTAAGTTACTAAATGCTGTAAAGAGTTTTTATGAGGATAGTGAGGCTCAGGTTAGGGTGTGTAGAAGAGAGGGAGACTACTTCCCGGTAAAGGTGGGTCTTAAACAGGGATGTGTAATGTCACCATGGTTGTTTAATATATTTATAGAGGGGAGGGAGGGGTTGTAAAAGAAGTAAATGCTAGGGTGTTGGGGAGAGGAGTGGGATTAAATTATGGGGAATCAAATACAAAATGGGAATTGACACAGTTAATTTTTGCTGATGATATTGTGCTTATGGGAGATTCTAAAGAAAAATTGCAAAGGTTAGTGGATGAGTTTAGGAGAATGTCTAAAGGTAGAAAGTTGAAAGTGAACATAGAAAAGAGTAAGGTGATGAAGGTATCAAATGATTTAGATAAAGAAAAATTGTATATCAAATTGGAGAGGAGTATGGAAGAAGTGAATGTTTTCAGATATTTGGGAGTTGATGTGTCAGCAGGTGGATGTATGAAGGATGAGGTTAACCATAGAATTGATGAAGGAAAAAAGGTGAGTGGTGCATTGAAGTAGTATATGTGGAGACAAAAAACGTTATCCATGGAGGCAAAGAAGGGAATGTATGAAAGTATAGTGGTACCAACACTCTTGCAATGAATGATTTTGAAAACTGACAAGTTGAACATTGAGACAATTATGCAACATATGGGAATCTTTATTTAGGAAACGTTTCGCCACACAGTGGCTTCATCAGTCCAATACAAAGCAGAAAGGTGGCAAAACGTTTCCTAAATAAAGATTCCTATATGTTGCATAAGTGTCTCAATCTTCAACTTGTCAGTTTCCAAAACCATTCATCACAACTGTCAGACACTGCATCATCATGGGATCTTGATACAAAGAATTCTTCAAACTTGTCCAACCTTTGGATGAAGACCTACTTCGACTAGTGGATAGTACCACTATGACCCCGCCTCCTCCTGCTTTGCCTCACCTGACTACAGTATATAAGCCACGTCTATGGCCCTATGCTGTACATTCTACAAGATTGATGGACTGAACACATTGACTTCAGGCTGAGGGACTGATTACCTCAAACTCCTCCTCTTCTTACACCTTTCTGCTTTGTATTGGACTGATGAAGACACTGTGTGGCGAAACGTTTCCTAAATAAAGATTCCCATATGTTGCACAAGTGTCTCAATCTTCACCAACACTCTTATATGGGTGTGCAGCTTGGGTTGTAAATGCTGCAGCGAGGGGGCAGTTGGAGATGGTGGAGATGTCCTGTCTAAGGGCAATGTGTGGTGTAAATATTATGCAGAGAATTCGGAGTGTGGAAATTAGGAGAAGGTGTGGAGCTAATAAAAGTATTAGTCAGAGGGCTGAAGAGGGGTTGTTGAGGTAGTTTGGTCATTTAGAGAGAATAGATCAAAGTAGAATGACATGGAGAGCGTATAAATCGTAGGGGAAGGAAGGTGGATTAGGGGTCGTCCTCGAAAAGGTTGGAGGGAGGGGGTAAAGGAGGTTTTGTGGGCGAGGGGCTTGGACTTCCAGCAAGCATGCGTGAGCATGTTAGATAGGAGTGATTGGAGACGAATGGTATTTGGGACCTGAGCAGTGTGAGCAAGGTAATATTTAGTGAAAGGATTCAGGGAAACCAATTATTTTTATATAGCTGGACTTGAGTCCTGGAAATGGGAAGTACAGTGGACCCCCGCATAACGATGGCATCGCATAGCGATTTTTCCGCATAACGATTACTTTTATCGCAAAATTTTTGCCGCGCATACCGATTAAAAACCCGCATACCGATTTTCGTCCGAGACGCGTCCAACGTGCCCTCACATGTGCCGGCCGTCCCATTGTTTACCAGCCAGCCTCCGCGGTAACATCCAAGCATACACTCGGAATATTTCGTATTATTACAGTGTTTTCGGTGCTGTTTCTGGAAAATAAGTGACCATGGGCCCCAAGAAAGCTTCTAGTGCCAACCCTGTGGTAAAAAGGGTGAGAATTAGTATGGAAATTAAGAAAGATTTTGAAGGGTTTGGGGCTAACCCTGAGAAGCCTATGCCAGTTGTGGAATCCATTGTGCCTACTTCAAAGATTAAGGAAATGTGTGCACAGTGGGTTGAACTGCAAACCTTTATAGATGAAAATCACCCTGACACAGCTGTTGCAAGCCGTGCTGGTGACTATTTCAATGACAATGTTATGGCCCATTTTAGGAAAGTCTTGAAGGAACGGGAGGTACAGAGCTCTATGGACAGATTTGTTGTGCGACAGAGTCCAGTGACTCTCAAGCTGGTCCTAGTGGCATTAAAAGAAGAAGGGAAGTAACCCCAGAAAAGGACTTGCTACCTCAAGTCCTAATGGAAGGGGATTCCCCTTCTAAACAGTAAGAAGATAATGCTCTCCCCTCCTCCCATCCCATCAATCATCACCAGATCTTCAATAAAAGTAAGTGTCATGTAATTGTGCATGCCTTTTTCAGTTTGTGTGTATTAAAATTAACATTTCATGTGGTAAAAAAAATTTTTTTTCATACTTTTGGGCGTCTTGCACGGATTAATTTTATTTCCATTATTTCTTATGGGGAAAATTCATTCGCATAACGATTATTTCGCATAACGATGAGCCCTCTTGCACGGATTAAAATCGTTAACCGGGGGTCCACTGTACATGTACAATGCCTGCACTTTAAAGGAGGGGTTTGGGATATTGGCAGTTTGGAGGGATATGTTGTGTATCTTTATACATATATGCTTTTAAACTGTTGTGTTCTGGGCACCTCTGCAAAAACAGTGATTATGTATGAGTGAGGTGAAAGTGTTGAATGATGATGAAAGTATTTTCTTTTTGGGGATTTTCTTTCTTTTTGGGTCACCCTGCCTCGGTGGGAGATGGCCAACTTGTTAAAAAAAACAAAAAGTGTTTTATGAAAACAATGCTGACTGCTTCCTCTCTTGGCTTGCAGGTCGTCATCTCCTGAGAACATTGAGTACAACCGTACCTTGCATCGTTCTGAAGGATACACCCATGAGGAGCATTTGGGCCCCAAGGTCAGGCATACATATGGAATCTCCAACAATGGCCCTTCAGAGATCCTGCAAGCTGAAATTGTCATACTCTGGCCCACCATGACACTGAATGGTAACCAGAAGTCTTCCAGTTCCTAAAAAACAATTTTCATTCTTTATTACATTATAAAAACATAGTATCCACAATGATGGAAATAATTCAGAACCATATTAAATGTAAGTCCTCATAGTTTAACATGTAATAGGTAATAACTAATAGCTATATTGACCAGTAGCCAAACCAGGATTGCAAATGAGCATCTCAGATCAATTTTGTAAATCAGCAATTCAAAACTTACCTCAGCTACACATTTAGTGTTGAAGTCTTGCTTGAAAATCTGTAAAAACACTTAAATATAATATATAATTGAGAAATACATTATCTTGGGCTCAGTTACAGCGATTACCAACTTACACTCAAGTTGTTGAAACTGATATTCTTATCAAATCTCAACCCATTTAAAAAATATAAGTTGATTAAATTAGATTTGCTTGTATTGTTTACTTCTTAAGGACTTTTTTAATGAACAAATGAGCTGTTGAATATTTCCAAGAATAGATAGAAAGGCAGTCCCACTAATAGGTAGACTCAAAAAGATAGACTCACGAACAGGTAACCTTACTAACATATTACTTCTGCAATAGGTTCCACACAAATAATTAGCCTCACAAATAAGTAACTAATTATCAAGTAATTTTTCCACTAAAAGGCATCATAATGCATCATACAATTTTGTCAACAGATAACCACTTACAGGTAGTAGGTTGGTAAACAGCAACTACCCAGGGAGGTACTACTGTCCTGCCAGGTGAGTGTAAACCAAAAGCCTGTAATTGTTTTACATGATGGTAGGATTGCTGGTGTCTTTTGTCTGTCTCATAAACATGCAAGATTTCAGGTATGTCTTGCTACTTCTACTTACACTTAGGTTACACTACGCATACATGTACTAGCATATATATACACACCCCTCTGGGTTTTCTTCTATTTTCTTTCTAGTTCTTGTTCTTGTTTATTTCCTCTCATCTCCATGGGGAAGTGGAACAGAATTCTTCCTCTGTAAGCCATGCGTGTTGTAAGAGGTGACTAAAATGCCAGGAGCAAGGGACTAGTAACTCCTTCTCCTGTACAAATTACTAGATTTAAAAAGAAAAACTTTCGTTTTTCTTTTTGGGCCACACTGCCTTGGTGGGATACGGTCGGTTTGCTGAAAAAAAAAAAATAACCGCTTCCTCAAGATGGCATTGGTCCTCACTCCACCTTGACTCTCCTTTTTTTTTTCCAGGTAATTATCTACTGTACCTCCTGGAGCAGCCCCAAGTTACTGGCCCAGTCAACTGCTCTTATGTTCCTGATGTCAACCCTCTGGGCCTCTTGGTGAGTATTTTCTGTGAAAATTATTGTCACCAGAGACATGAAACATGCCAAGGTGATTGAGGGTTTTAACCCTTTGACTGTCGCAACCCCCAATCCTGAGAGTGTCTCCGGGTATCGCAAAATTTAAAAAAAAAAAAAAATTTTTTTTCTTATGAAATGATAGAGAATCTTTTCCCGATTGTAATGACACCAAATAAACGAAATTTGATGGAAAACTGACGGAATTATGCTCTCGCAAAGTTAGCGACCTCGGCGCTGTTTACAAATCGGCAATTTCACTCACTTTGAGCCCTATTTTCCGCTGATTCCATTGTTCCAGTCGCCCAAACTCATAGCTATTTCTTTAGAACTCCATTTTTGCTATCGATTGAGTATAAGAAACTGCCCATTCACCGATTTCAACTACCTAATAATGTGGTCAGAAATTTGCAATTTGGCCAATTTCATGAAAACTAAAAAATATGACAATTTCAAAATAAGGTCCAGAATGAACAATGCAGACATTCCTGGCTCTAAAATAACATTTTCTTTGTTCATCAGTCATGTCTCCAGGCCCCTCTGATATTACTCTTGCTTTCTATTTTGAATTTTTATTCAAACAAAAAATAGAAGACTTACTATTATGCAGACTACTGCAATACTGTAATAATTGTATAAATAACATCAACCCATTCATGACTGCATATTAGAATGGCTAGTTGGACATTTATTGGACAATGGCATCATTTGTTTACTTTTGAACATTGGCAAAAATCAAACATTTCCCCTATTTTGAGCTCCATTTCTAGGTTATTTTTATAGTAAAATCAATCAAAATCACCTCTATTTCTATAATATGTTTTCCATTCTATCAAATGAGACCAAGAAAACGAGAATACAACCATAAATACTATACGAAAATAGACCACAAAGTCGGCATTTTAATTAAAAAAAACGGTCGGAGTTTTTTTTTTCTCATTATGCACTGCGTGCCCCAGGATTTTTTTTTTTGGTGACACTGACCAAAACGGGACCATTTCTCACATGTGGGCCTATAGCTTTCTTTTGTTTTGATTTGAACCCCGCTAGAATTTATAAAGTATATATACGTCAAACAGGTTTCCTGTAAAAAGTATATATACGGCCGCGACAGTCAAAGGGTTAACGTTCGGGAACTGGAAAAAATTTGAAAGAAAATTCTTAAAATGGCTTTAAGAGATTTGTTACCCATACACACCACTAGAGTGCTCGGGAATGTGGATTCATTTTTACTTACTGAGTTGTGGCTCTGAGAGTGAGCTTCACTGCCCAAATTTCTAATATTGGGGTTCGGGTTTTCTTTTGGGGCACCCCTTGTTCTGGTCCCCCCAAGTATCGTTTTTGTGTTTCATGATAAATATAGTTTTTCTTTCATTTGGTTTATGCTTTTGGGTTTGCTTTTTATGTTTAAACATACAAAGCATGTGCCAAATAGAAACGGGTTTGAAGGAAGATAGTTTGCTATCTGGATAGGCTAAAAAAATCCCACCCCAAATATTTTCCCCCGGAAAGATTTTAATCCCCCTCATGAAAAAATGGAAGTTTGGGGGGAAAATTATGTTATACCAGAAATATTCCGGGAAGCCCCGGGCCCTCAACAGGCACTTTACCGGGAAAAACTAATGAGGCTTTGTGAAAAGTATCATTAAACCAACAGGTAATTAAATTCCCACTAGAAATAAAATTTCCCCTGGTTTTGATATTCACAAACAATGGGGAAAATTTGGTCAGAGACAAAAAAGGGGTCCCAAAAAAAAATTTTTACTGTATTCTGATTTTAACATCATAAAATTTTCAAATGAGTTTTAACTCGGGGTTTTAGGAAACTGCGTCATAAGGGTTAGAGACGAGATTTTGGGAGAAAGGTTTTAATTTTAAAAAACCAGGGTTTTTTGACTGGGAAAAAAAAACCCAAAGAGTACCCGCATACCCCGGGAATCAGACAAAGCCCCAAAATTCCCCCCCAGTCCCTGGGAGAAGCTGAAAAGAAAAACATACAAGGTATGTATAAAACCCCACATAAAAATTTGGGAAACCCCAGAACAAGATCGATATAAAAGAGAGAGCTAGGAGAGGGTTAAGAGAAGAAGAAAAGGGGTTTTTAAAATTGTTTTAAAAACAAAAATATGCCGGGGGTTGGTGGCAAAAGCCCCCCGTTTTCACCCCAGGGGGGCCCCCGGGGTTTCGTTTTTCCCGGGGGGTTTGGAAACCCGGGAAAATTTTCCCTTTTCACCTTTTGCCCTTTTCCAACCCTACCCAAAAAAAATAGGTCCCGGGGGTGTTAGTCGACTGGTGTGGGTTTTCATTGGGGGACAAGTTTAAAGGGGCCCCCAAAAGGAAAATTTAAGTTAGACAGTCCTGGGATGACGCACTGACTTTTTGGGTTATCCTGGGGGGGCAAACCCTCCGGGGTTTAAAAACCCAAAAGAAACTTTTTCTTTTCTTTTCTTAAAGGGGGAAAAATAGACTTACCCGAGGGGATCACTGAATTAGAGAAAAAAAAACTGGGTTTGTCATACCTAAAGGGAAGAAGTACAAAGGGAAAAAAGGGGCCCTATAAGGTATTGCAAAAAAACCCAAAATTTTTTCTTTTCCAAAGAAAAAATCCAAGCTAAGAACTGCCTGTGGGAATTTGGGGACCATTTATGAGAGGAGATTCGTATACTGATGATAAATGGGAAATGGGGTAAAATTCCTCTAAAAACCCTTTAAACTAAAAGGAAAATATAAGCAATATCAGGGGATTTTAAAGGGTGGGGGTATGGTGAAGACATGGTGGGGAGAGGCCCAAGCAGCGGGCCCTTAGGATTGATTTTCACTATTCCCTTCAGAGTGAGCTTTTAATTTTTTTTATATGTTTTTTTTGTGCTATGTACTAGCATCGGTGCTTTTAAAAAACGTGGCTGGTACAATGAAACACAGTGATTTGTGAAAACATTTTCCTTTAGGGGAAAAAAGTGGTTAGCTTAAAAGTGTTTTTAAGTGATAGTGAAAAGGGAAAAACATTTCCCAGCTAGTGGCCCCCTCCCGGGCCCGCCCTCATTCCCAAACCCGGCTTTTAAACACCCCCCCCAACAAACATTTCCAAACCCCCCCCACGACATCACCACCCCCCCCTTTCTCTCTCCCCTGTAAAATTCCCAAACCTACAAGCACCCTTGGGATGACTTCACACCGAAAAAATGAAAGGGAATTTATCTACGTTTTGGGGCAATTTTTCCCAGTAGTTACGGGGCGTGTTTGTGGGTATACCACAAGGGCCCCAAATTTTCTTTTAGATGTAAGGACCCAAACTTTTTCCCAAACTACGGGCCCCAAAAGATTGCTTTCCCAGAAGAAGAATTTTGTTTGCAGCCAGGTTAAAAAATTTCAAAAAAATTTAGGATATCCAAAACCCTTGGGTATATGTGGTTTACAACCCTAAGTAAGGAGGAAGGTTTCCGAAGCCCTACAAAGGGGACCCCCTTTGTCCAAAAAACCCAAGACTGCCCTCTTGGGCTGGGTTTTTAAAGTTAAAGCTAAGATAACCCAATCACGGGAAGCACTTCATGAGCTCCTCAAAATTTCTTTAAAGAAAACCCTCAAGTATTTTTGAAGGCCAGTGCAACCTGCATCAAGGGGAACCGTAAGCTGCTGGGGCTGTTTGGTGCCCACAAATTGAAAAAGGGACGGGAAGTCCCACACTGAGCTTAACTGGGGGGTTTAAAAAAACTGGGGGGAATTTCTGTCATCGCTAAGGTCCCACAGACGGGCAGAGTTCAAAACACTCCCTTTTTGGGTTTTTCCTAACAAGTTCCTTTGCCCACCACTGGGGAAAAAAACCCCCTTTCCCCCAGAAACGGGGGAACCCTTGGATCTGTTTTTTTCTCTACCCCTGACTTCTTTTGCTTCAGCCACCCCAACCCTATTGGGACGGTTGCACATCCCACTCTGTTCCTACCCTGTCAGCCACCCCCGTTTACTATTTTGTTTTTCGGGTTTTAGCAGTGTTGTCAGCGGTTCTGACCCGGGGGAGTTTCTCCCCCAGGAAAAAGGTGCATTTTAAATGATCCGGGAAATTTTAACTGCCACCGGTTTCACCTATGCGCCCCGAAGTCGAACAGCAGGGGACACATCTGTCAGAACGGGAGGGGAGGGGCGAGGACGTGGAGGGGGAAAAGACATCTAACCCGGGTTCCCCCCCCACTAAAAATTTTCCACCCGGCGGGAATTCTGAGGACAAATCTAAAAAACTCAGGAGGTGCAAAATCTAGGTCCACCCTCCCGGCCCCTAGGCTGGCTCTCACTGTCCCGGGGAAGGGGGCACACTCCCAAACAAACTGCCTGCGGATACCAGGTTTTTAATTTTACTGCTACAAAAAAGGGAAACTTAAGTGGGGCCCAGTTTCGGGGGAAAAGGAACTTGACGGGACGGGGCCCCTGTTTGGGGAAAACCTTGTTCTCAAAAACAAACCGAGGATTTTGGGAATTTGGGTTTGGAACACTCTCCCCGGGCCACCCATTGTTTACCCCTTTCCCCCCAAACCCCAGCAGGGGGGATTGCGCCTTATCCCAAGGGCCCAAGACTCCCCCTTTGCAGTTTGCCTCAGTCCCTTACCTCTTAAAGGGCGGCACCTTAAAATTCCCCAACACACCCACCACCTAAGTGCCCCTTTCCCATATGAGGACCCAGTCTATCAGCCCCTGTCACCAAAACATTAGAGGTTTCATTACTAATGTTGGGAGCTCACACATAGTTTTGTGAACACTGGGCCCACCCGACATGATAGCTGTTTTTGGGAAACATTTTTGGATGATGGGACCCCCAAAAAATTTTTGCAAGAATTGCTGGATACACCTCATGGTTTGAGAAGGACAGGAAAGGGGCCCAAGGAGGAGGTGTGCGGGTGTGCTTCTCTAAAATGTTAAAGCCCCAGCCATTGTTTTTTGGCCCCCTAACATCTTGAAATGATATTCTTCAAGCTCTGAAATAAAACTAGTAC